CAAGTGATATTGTTATTGCGATATTCAATATCATCGTGATATTTACCTTATATTGTGCAGCCCCACTTGTAATGATTTAATTTATGTTGCTACAGCAACCAGTTCTTGAGATCCAGCCCAGTCCTGTGCAAGAATTTGCGAATCCTAGGATAGCAAGGTAATGGCCCACCCCACTCTGCCTTGCTCCATCTTTGATTGGCTTACTCTGACATTCTTACCCTTACCGTAACCAATCCTGCTTCTCTTGCCTAAACCTAACCATAAACCAACCAACAAACAATGAGTACCAGCCAATCACAGGCAGAGTAGGGCGGGACATTCCTTTGCCATCCTAGGATTTGCAAATTTGCATCCTGTACAGACTTAAAGGAGAACTCTAAGGATCTTCTATGTCAACGCTATTGAGTTGCATTGTGGGAAATCACTATCTTGGAAAGCATTATTTTAGGTTACATTCAAATGAAATTCAACAAAATTTGATAGTTTGACAGTGACAGTGCCCGTCTAACGCAATGTTTTGGCACAACTAATCAGTACCACGTTCTGTCCCCCTAAACAACCTATCTGTCTTTTTCCAAATCTCTTTAACATAACCACAGAAGTAAGGAAGCAAATTTGGCAGTGTGGTTGATCTGACATTAGGCTAACTTCTCTTGATGTAAGTAAACGTTAGCTAGCTAGTAAGCTAGCATTGCTAACAGTGATAGTCCCCCCAGCTACATCTTTTAATCATTTTTAAAATGTTTTCTTTTCGAAGAAAGCACATTCGAACATGGCACATGGCATATATGTATAAGAGGAAAGGGTTCTGCCATTTTACAAGCTTACTCAACTGTTATTGGAGCATAGAGTTAAAAGGGGTGGGACTTAGGAAGGGCTAATTTGGGGTGCTCCTTGAAGCGAGCTTTAATATTATCATTTTTCTAAGCATTATAAGAAACTGTCATGGATTGTCTCAATATGTGGGTCCAGTAATGTCCATCTGTCATACAACTGAAGACAGCTGCTTTTAGTTTTCTCTTTGCAGTGTAGCTTTTAAACAGTGATTCTGTACTGTGTATAAAGTGAGGTGAAGTCTCACTTAATTATGACAGCCTTGATTATTTTAGCACGCTTTGTAAAACAGACCTATAGGTTCCCTAAACCTGATCTAGTAACTCTGCTGTTGCTGCTTCTTTGGACCTTGTGTTGCTCTGGCTCTGCATCCAAACCCCTGACTGTCTATAGGTGGTGGGCACAATGCCATCTATACTGTTTAGACTGTATAGATGTTAATCATATAGTTTCCGCCACGCTGTTCTGTACAGTCCAGTAAGCAGCTCCAAAAAGCAGTTTGGCAACATGTTCCAGTATCATAGGCTACTGAATCTTAAAGCAGAACTAACATCCACAGTGCCGATAATAACAGTCAATCACATTGTATATCCAAGTGAACATTGGTGGTTCTGCACTCTTCACTCTGATCCATAAAGTCTTCATCTAACCATCAAACCAATTAAAATGTTGCACGAGGACATCTGGGTTCCATTAGATTTCCTTCATGATTATTTCAAAAACCTTTTTCATTCCATCCCAATACATCAAGGCAAAGCCAATCAGTGCTACATCTTTGGTGAATTTGTATTTTTGCTACAGGCCAAAGGTTTTTGCTGTATCACATTAAGACATTCAATACATTCACTAAACAGAAAGGTTTGCTATCTTGTGTTTGTGTGAAGTTTTCAGCAGCCTGAGCTCGACGAATCACTCACACCTTTCAGTTCTCTGGGTGCTTTAGCCGTTCATCCAAGGTCACCGCCCAAAGGAACAGAAGGGTGGGTGTCACTCTTGCTCGGGTGCAGCTATGGGGTGTTAGATGAATAATGTGGCGTGTCCCTGTGGGACTGTGCAGGATATAAGGCAAAGAGAGAAGCACCATTTGAATTACAGCTGACAGGGCACCCATGCATTACAAGGTGTAGCAGATCAGTTACTCCTACCACTCAGGCGCACGTTCAAAAAGCAGTTCGAAACCAAGTTGGGTCGCTTTTTAGCAGTGTTTAAGGACTTAAAGAGAAGGAGCGACGCAAAGGGATTGTGGGTAGAGGAGGCTGCTTTTCCAAGGCAACGTGGAGGAGACCAGGGTGTGGTATTCATGTAGGACTGTGCTGCATCCTGTCAGATATGTAACACACCACTAACGCTATTTACAGCTCATACAACACATACTGCCTCAGTAGACGTGTTTCCACAAACGTATTTTTATGCGCATTTTGAAGTCTCGCATTAGAAATGTATGGATCACGACGAAATTCGATCAAACTTCCTCAGTAGAGCAAAAAGGTTTTATGCTCAAGGTGGTTTTTGCTTTTGTTGAAAAATAGTTAGATGCACTAAATGAGCTATGGAAACGCCTTTGCCTATTAAGTTCGGATTGCTGCATTCAAACTGGGTTGTCTTTTCCATGTCTACTAGAAGAGTCCCCCCTTGTGGTATTCCCACCCTTGTAGGTGTAAATTTTCTGAAAGCTCAGGAGTTGTGACCTTTTTATTTTGACGTTTTCAAATTGTGGAGGTTCATTTTTTGGTGGATGGTTAGATAATATATTGTAATTCTAGAGAATTAGAGATCTTTGTAATTAACAATATGTCTGAGGAAAATGTTGATAGACCCAATGGCCTTGGTGGCTGCTAGATGCCAACAGTAGCATCTGACTTATTTCTTCTGGCGTGCTGAGTTTGGGCTGATATTAGGCCAGCTAACAAGTTCCATTTGAAAACAACATAACCCACATTACTGATCAGCTATTTTTGCTTTTGGCATCTTTCCAGATATTCCCATAACAACATAATTTGTCTTGATCTCTGGATAGCAAGAGATAGTCTATCTACTATCTGACATGAAAGAACAATCAAACTTTATAAGACCTCTTCTCTGGTAGATGGGTTGGATGGCTAAGGTGACAGCCACGCATAAAGCGTAGCCTGCATCACAACTTCTGTTGAAAGGACGCTTTACGCAGCCAAGTTTATTCACTCCAAACAGTTTGCGTTTCTTATTTGAGACATTTCAAAAGTTTGCCAAAAATGCGCTTGACAATTGCATGGAAACACAACCACTATCTGAAATAACACAATGCCAGTTTAAACTCATTCAGGACAAGAGCCAAATTCCACCTCTGTATAGATATTCTATCAGACTACTTAGGTCATTACAAACCATTGCTTATGCCACGTTCATGTCACATGTGTGCTTCTACAAGCTTCTTTATTCTTAACATCTCAAGAAATAAATTGGCTAACTGATTGGCAGTGTGTTTTTAAAGGTGATTCCATTGACTCAGGGACCAAAGACCATTGATCCAACCGCCACCAAGGAACCAGGCGCATTTAAAGAGGCATGAGTACAAAAACCAGCACTAGAAACATGCAAAGGACCTCAGCAGAGTTTCAACGGTTAGTCGATTAATTATTTGGTCTATATAAAGAAGACTGATAAGCAACTATCTTGATAATCAAATATTTGTTTCAGTCATTTTTCAAGCAAAAATGTTAAAAATGTGCTCACTCCTGCTTCTTAAATGTGAGAATTTGCTGCTTTTCTTTGTCATTTATAATAGTAAATAATAGGGATGCACAATATTGGATTTTTTGCTGATATTAGATATACCAATATGTAACAACTCATTTGACTGATAACTGATACTGATATCGATATACCAATTTTTTTCCCACACCTTATTTTAGTGATCATCATGTATCTTCTGTAATGGGATTAACATATTATGCATGCATACTCTTATCGTGATGGCCCATCAGCAGATGGAGACATGAAATACAATACTCAATGTATGTAATATCCATTCATTGTGCAAATTAAGAAAAAGCATGCTGGCCAATTCTGATAGTTAATTTTAAAGCAGATACTGGCTGATACCGTTGACGTGCCGATGTTATTGTGCATCCCCAGTAAATAAAGTAATTGGGTTTTGGAGTGTTGGTTGGACAAAAGAAGCAAAATGAAAATGTTACTTTGGGCTCTGAGAAACTGTGATTTTCTCACAATTTTTTGACATTTTATAGACTTAATTGATTAATCGTAAAAATAATCTGCAGTTAAGTCATTGTTGGTAATTAGCGTTGGCTGGATAGATTGCTAGAACCCTCAAACAACCAAATGCAAACATACAATCGTCTTTCATTTTCTAATAAAGTGAACTTCAGTCACCCATGACGTGAACGTGGCATTAATCACTGTTTTAAGTCCACTACATAGAGTTTATTAATCCTCACTAGAGATTCTGAGCAGTGCTATAAAACAACAGACAGACTAAATATCAGACAGTATAGAAAACAGTGAATGGTTTCAGATGCAGCCCAGATCTGGTTCAGGAACATCCGAGACTTCCAGGAGTCTTTAGGCAAACAACAACCGTTGGCAGTACAGAACAAGTAAGCAGTAAACTATCTACAAAAAGTTAAGCTAAGTTATTAGGAAAGTCGGGTACAAAGTGTAAAAAGAGCAGGCGAAGAGTGTAAACACACACGCACACACACACGCACACGCACACACACACACACACACACACACACAATAAAGAGTATAATATGGAGCATAAATATGCTCGAACACACTGCTAGTAGTAATAGTACAAACACAGAACTGCTCACAGTAATATGTACAACCATCACAGCTTTCCAAAAGCACTCGTTATGACACTATTCAAGATCCTAAAGCTAACTACTGCTGCTAACTTCATCTACACAGCTAAAGCAGACTTCTAGTTTTTTAAAATGTATATTATCTCTACCAGTATTGTCTTTGTGGCAGTGCCAACTGATTCAAACTCCTCTCTGACTTCACACATCTGATATCGTTCACAAATCCCTCACTTTTCCACTCCTGTACATCTTGTTCCATGGTGGTCATTTTGAAAAGGCTTCTGTATGCTTAAAAAAGCATTCGCCTGATAATCTAACAGCATCTGACTCGCTTCTCAGATGGAGGAATCAGGGAGGTGGTGGCTGTGAAACCTTCCCAGAACACATCTGTCAATCAAGCTCACTTAACGCAGTGACTGACCAATGGGATACAGCCAAAAAAAAAAGCTGTAACAGCAGCCTTCCAGTGTTGCTGCTCAGAACAGGTCACTTTTGTCTTCACACCCAGGGGCTCAATATACCACATGGATATGCCCCCTAGCATCTAGCTAGCTACTTTAGCAACATTTAACTAGTGTGGGCTTTAGCTCCCTGGCTGTTAGCTAGCTTAACAGTTGAGTTTATGTGGGTCGGCAGATCAAGAGAGGATAACATCACATTTTATAGCCAGTATTAGCAGATGACATGCCAATAATATCATGCATCCCCAGTTAGGAGAGTGATCAGGTTAAGGGTATCCAGTGGAGTTTTGACTACTGTATAGTAGTGCTATGCAGCAAAGTTTTTAAGAGTGTGTCCCCATTTTATTAGTATCATGTGCATGCAGTTATACTTTTCATATTCTTGCTAACAGTTTGCTGTTCTACTGGTGTATATTTGGCTACAACGCACCAAAAAATAGCTTATGTTTTATGATGATGCATTTAACATGTTTGTTAGGCTTCATGGTGACATGTTTCAGAAAAACTAGATGTTAACTTAACAGAAAAACTCCACAGGATTTCCTTGTTTGTTTTTATCAGTGTATACTTGGGCTAATAACTATCTGGTCTACACGATCTATTATCTGTTTGTGTTGACATAATACTACTTTTACACACACACACACATCCTTCCCATAGAACTCATCACAACGATGTACAATTAAAATGGCCACCATGGAATAAAGAGCAATCCAGAGTTCCTGCACACACTGGCACCTTATTGCCAACACAATAAAACATAGCACAAACAATATTAGCTTCTGAATGTAGCAACTGTACCTTCAACAAAAAGTCACATTTCACAGATTATCTGCCTATCCACGAGCCTCGTCACAGCCTGCTTTTTCTGGAAACAAAGTGCTGAGGCTTTCATTTTTTCTAACAGCTTCCTACTGAAGAAGATCCCTTCCAAATGATCAGAGAAAAAGAAGTATGCGCTGTGCATTTTTAAGCTCTAACTGCAGTGGAACTGATTTAGCTAGCATCACTTTTATGCTACAAGTATGGTGAAAAAACTTTTCTTCTGAACTTAATTTTTCTTTTGAACTCCAACCTCTCAGTCCTTTACATAAAGACTTACTGCTTACTGCTGGGTGGCTCACTGACGGCTATTCATCACAATTATTTCACCATCACCACTTTGGAAAACCAAGCCAGGCTCCCTTCATTAGGCATTGTCATTAAAGGCTAGTTGAAAAAAAAACTGAAATATATTTACACTATAAAAATTCACAGGTTGTAAGTAGACAGAAATGTTTGGACGCCTTATTTTGTTTCCCCACAGCAAAAAGATCCAAATCTGAATAAGGCATCTTTGTACATCAAGATGGACAACATGAGGACGGTGTAGCAACTAATGATGTATTTATTACGCTATGTAAACAGTAGTTACCTGTAGTAAGTCCAGTTCTATTAGCCATGTCATAATAATGGACTTAATAGTTAATAGTGGAGCCCATTTAAGTGCAACACGTGTTGCATGTGGGTCAAAATGTAAGTAAACTTCTTGGGAAACTTCATTTAATGAATATTAACGTATGAAACAGCATTATTATCATAAACGCTGATTAAAACCTAATAATTTTTATTTCATGATGTAACTTCAGTTCCAGGTGCGGAAGCCAAAAACGGCCATGCTTGCATTTTTTTACTTCATTGCTGTAATCTTAAGATTGCAAGTTAATTATTTTTGGTACCTTGAGATAACAAAGCGTGTTTTCTTGTGATAACTACTTAATTTATGCCGATTCTCAAAAAAAAAAAAAAAAAAAAAGTCAATGTCTTAAGATAACAAAATAATTTATAATGATAAAATCTTTTTTTCCCCTCAAGATCACAAGATAATAATGCTGCGGTCAGGTCAGCTGATGTTTCCATAATTATCCTGTAATCATGAGAAAACTAAAGTCATTCTCTCATGATAAATTATCTATAAAATTTGGCCTTTAGTTTTCTTGAGATCACAGGCTAAGTATATTACAGTCAAGTGGACCGTTGAATCAACATAAATTAACTTGTTGTCATTAGAAAAGACTACCAAAGAGATACCAGAACAATTAAATCCTGATCTTGAGATGACATCATTCAGATAAAAAAAAATTAATAGCATGTCCCTTCTCAGCTTCCGTAGAATGAGTATGTGCCTTGCCTTTAGTTTGCCTTTAACATTAACTGGCCACTGTGATAAAGGCTGACTACCTTATCTGACCATTTACACATCTTATCACAACATTTCAAAAGTGATTACATAATCAGTTGCTACAAAGCTTTGAATAGAAATCTGGGGAATATTGTCACATTTTTCATTTACTCTCTACTCATGTGGAGAGCAAAGACACACCTCCAAGTCATGGATTCTCCAAAGTGTTGCTCCAGTTGAAATTGGATGTCCATCATTTACAAAAGTAACATCAATGACTTGCCACAAAGAAACAGTTAGGCTATGTGTCAAAGGGGGGTAAACGGTTGTATACCATTCAAAGTCAGGAAATGAAATATCGCTGATTGCAATTCACAACTTTCATCCATCTAAAAGAAAAGAAGAAGAAACAGTGGGTGTGTCTCACAGCGCTCCCTGGTTCACCAGAAGCTCAGCTGGAATCATACTGTGAGTCCATCAGTGTCTCACACTTCAATCAATTAGCTAACTAATCCACCTGAAATCCAGTACACTCAACACTGACTGACCTCCTGTGAACTCAAAGAGGCTTGACACACCCAGAGATTCCCAGAGGAGTTTCTTTCTCCAACATATAATACAATTAACTGCCTTTTTTCCCAATAATCCAGCTTCACTGTGAGTCTAGAGCTCAGCAAAATGCTATGACTAAAGCCCCAGCTCACAGCAGAGAAACCCCAGAGTACATGCTAAAGGCTGGATAACTGTATATCAACATTGTTAGTGGTGTTCAAATAGTAAACAATAAATAACTATGTACACATACATTTGGCAAGGTTTGATACACTGTCGGCCATGTTTATAGCAGAGAATTAAAAAAAATCTGTTCACATTCAGCGCAGAAGGACTACAAATCCCAACTTCTGCAGCACTGAGCTGCAGGATCAACAAGGACATGCTACACAACAGAGGGTCTATCCTGTAGCATGTGTGAGTGTATGTGTGTGTGTGTGTGTGTGTCTGTGTCTGTGTGTGTGCATGGGGATTAGGTAGGTGGGGGGAGGGGGGGTGTTTGGGAAAGAGCGCATGTAGGTGGGTGACCTTTGTGTGTGTATGTCTGAGTGTGTGTGTTACACAGTATTCTCTGCAGAGGGAGGTTCAGCATTGGGTGGCTCCAGAAGAGTCTGTTGGACTGCAGAGGCAAAAACAGAAAAGTAAACATCAGTGCTTTATACACAGATCAAATTTATCAGCTATTTCCAATGACAAGAAACTGCAGTCCTTTGACAAAATGTTCTAAAATCAATTAAGTGACAGATTCAGAAATACAGACAGTAGGAGCCGATATGACAACAAAAGCAACACAATCAGCAAGACAAACTACAATTGCTGCCATTGTATGCCTCCATGAACCAGTCAAGTTGCAGTTATAGTTTACATCCATGCCTGTCCAGACTCACATGTAGCCATGACAGCTGATAAAGCTTCAAATATGGATGTTGCTGCAAAGATGCTAAAACATAGATGCTTCACACACATCTTTCCACAGAAGATCTATACAATCAGCACAGTTTCATGATTAGTGTCAGTATCTGACCAAATGTCTCCCCTTGTCTTCCTGAGTTATAATAATAAGTAATGGCCAGAAAAGTGTTTTATGCAGAACATTATGATGTCACAGTGAAGTTAACCTTTGACCTTTTGGATATAAAATGTCATCACCTCATTATTTTATCTGATCAGACATTTGTGTGAAATGTTGTCATCATAAGCATATGAATTCTTGAATTATGACCCAAAAGATGTTATGTGGGGTCACAGCGACCTTGACCTTCACCATCAAATCCTGATCGGTTAATTTTTAAGTCAGAGGAGAGGACATCTGACTGTGCCAAATTAGAGGTAATTCCCTCAAGGCCTTCTTGAGATACAAGAGAATGAGATGGATGCTAGGTTGCAGTGACCTTTGACCACAAGATTCTCTTAAGTTCATCAGTGAGTCCACGTGGACAATTGTGCCAAATATGAGGAATTTCCCTAAATGTGTTCTTTAGATATCATGTTCATGAGAATGAGACAGAAGGATGGACGGACAGGTGGACTGACAACCCAAAAATCCCTCCGGCCACTGCTGTCACTGGTGCAGAGGCATAAAAAACAATAAATGGGGTGCCATTTTTGAATGTGATATTCAGCTCTAGTTCAAGTCCAACTAAAATCACATTTAGTCTTTCAACATAATGTCAGAGTTTTATTTAAAAATGTATTGTTGGGGCGTCGGTGGCTTAGTGGTAGAGCAGGCGCCCCATGTACAAGGCTGTTGCCGCAGCGGCCTGGGTTCGACTCCAGCCTGGGGCCCTTTGCTGCATGTCACTCCCTCTCTCTCTCCCCCTTTCACGCTTGTCTGTGTCCTATCAATTAAAGGCCGAAATGCCCCAAAAAATATCTTAAAAAAAAAAAAAAGTATTGTTAATGGTTTCTTATCATTAAAAGATAGAAAAAGGGTCTTTGGAAAATACCAGACTGACTGCAGCTGACAGCCTGCCAGAGTGCCAGTGTTATACAGAGGTGATCAAGGGACAAAGTAAATAAACTTGCTCTGTAGCTACATTTCATGAGCAGATAATGTGTTATTAGTGGTATAAAGGAGAACTGGCCTTAAATGACATTTGCAGGTACATTTACAGGCTGTTTAATGTGCTACAGCTGAGCAGCTAGTTAGCTATCTAGCTTACAAACTGACATTAGCAGTGCAGAACGTTTGTTTGGTGACTCAATAAGCAAGTTATGCTGTAGTGCGTGTTAAGTTTGTGAGTTAGATAAGAAGGAGACTTCAGCAGGAAAGGTAATGTGGGTCGTTGGTCAGAGTCTGTGGCTCTTGTGTTGTGTATCAGCTGCTGTCTGGCTCACTTTGACCGTCTGCCTAGAATAAAACGCTGCCACTACCGCTGATGAAGAACATACACATTAGAGCAGTGCAGACCTGCCAATCAAGTGACGTCTGGGAGCAACTTCTGGCACTCCTCATGTGGTCTGGTCCTTGATCTCATCTCATGCCAAAGGTGTGTCCTTCCTGCGTCCTGCCTCCCTCTGCTAATTTTATCATTTTAATCCTGTCAAATGTGGGTCCCCTTCAGGTGTGTATGCAAATGTAATTGCATTCTATCTGATCATTGCCTTTCCTTACCATTTGATCATTATTGTATACTCACTGTCCGATCACTGCTTTGGTTTACTGTATAAAAGTGCTTACATTTCATTTGCTTGGGGTCAGCTCACCTGCTCTGTGTCTTTAAGTTAATCAGTATGCCTGCATATTTCATTAAACTCACTCTTCAACACTACTTAATGCAAGTTTTGACTGGATAATTTCTTTGAATTAATGCAAAACTATGGGGCACCATCATGCAACCAAATACATTAAATATACACTTCTCCCTTTTGTTTTCTGTTTTATTTTTTCTAAACGGAGAACACAGGACAGCCCTCTGATGAGTTTCTCCTTTCAGATCAGTGTTGTCAAGTGATGATAGCTCCACCATTTAAAAGAAAACTTTCGCTGCATTTTCCAGAAAGATAATTTGTTGTAAATTTGGGTTTGTACGGTTATAAATGAGGCTAGAGGAGAGTGTCCAGTAGATGTGAGTAAAGTGCAGAAGAGATGTGTTTACCTTGTGGTTCTGTAGCCACCACAGCCTCGGGGTTCTCAGCCTTCACCATGTCAGCATTCAGGCTCTCTGTCACAACACAACACGTAGTGAGCATTACCAGCTGCTGTTAACACTGCTACTGCCACAACTGCTACTAACTGCAACACTATCTACTGCTACCAAAAATGCTTTTACTACCACAACCAATGAGGTGATGTTATCTCTAAGATTGTGTTGCACCAATAGACTGTATAAAATAATCAATTTTCAATCAATCAATTTTATTTATAAAGCCCAATATCACAAATCACAATTTGCCTCACAGGGCTTTACAGCATACGACATCCCTCTGTCCTTTGGACCCTCGCAGCGGATAAGAAAAAACTCCCCAAAAATGGACGTAACCACTCTGACATCACTGATTGCTTTGTGGACTCCTGTTTTGAGGCCCCAAGTTTGGCATTTTGGCCATCACCATCTTGAGTTTTTGGTTCCGTAAGTGACCAAATTATCAATTGGTGGAGATAACCGTAATGCTAGCTGCTAGCGTGGTTTGGATGATTAATTCACAGCTACGGTTAAACTGGGCTAATGCTAATGCTATTTTTCACTAGCAAGAAACTATCATAAAACCATTAAAACAAAACTTACTTACCAGAAAAACTAACTATTCTTTTTAAGGCTACCAAATGTTACAATTAAGTCTCGTGAACTGAAAACAGACTGAAATAACAACAGCTACTGCTACGCCTATACTCTGTGAATTGGGGGGTACACCATGGTTATGCTACCTAACCAGTGATGTCACCATGGTTGTGATTTGTCAAAAAACAGCCCCACCTGTCAATCAAAGTGACCAACTCTTAATTGTGCATTACTTTAAGCCTTAATAAAATACAAACAGATGAGTTATATAAAACTTCACCCACTGTACAGTTGTAATGATGGGGGAAATTAGCTTTGGAGACCAAAAACATTTTTTGTACCAGGCTGTAAATATGTTTATTTCTGCTGTCAAGTTGGGCATTTTACCATGGAGGTCTATGGGGACTGACTCGCTCTTGAAGCCAGCCTCAAGTGGCCATTCAAAGAAATGCATTTTTTGGCACTTCCACGTTGACTTTATTTTTCAGCCCCGAAGTTGCTGGACAGTGCCACACACAAGTACCAACCAAATACCCCAGTAAGAATTCTAGGAAGGTATTAAGGTATGAAAAAACACATACCACCCAAGCCTGTTAAGTACATTTTGTTTTAATGGTTTCAAACCTGTTTTTGCTAGCAAAAATTAGCATTAGCCAGGGTTGGGAATTAACTTTTCTGTTCACCTGCCACTGTGGCTGTTGGATTTCAAAATCTGCCAACCACTGAATAGATTACCATTGTTTTTTCAGCTGGTGAGTGAGGCAAATCTAGGAGCAGCTTGCATGTTTTACCTGAATTTGGCTAGTGACTGGTACTAATTTCAAACCCTGGAATTAGCATTATTACAGCTCTGTAAATGCATTGTGCTAACTAAGCTAGCATCCCCACCCTCTCATCCAAATATGGTCACTTCTAGTGCCAAAAAAAAAAAACCAAGATGGCGATAGCCAAAATGCCAAACTTGAGTCAACCAAACATTGGTTGACATCTCTGTGGCTACGTCCATTATTTATACAGTCTAAGGTTCCAAACTAGTGATTTATTCAATCAGGTTACACCATTAAAACTTAGTAAAGACTTAAGTAATGTGTAAAGTGGTTGGTCGGAAACATCTAAGTTGCTGCCCAGTCAAGAGCAATCAACTACAAACAGGAAGTTATCTCTTTATTTACTGATGTTTAAATCTCCACTAAATGCTCCACTGTGTTTACCAACTACTCTCTAAATGTGTCTATCTGCTGCTGAGCAGGTCGTGTGAAATGGGTTGATCAGAGCTTAAACAGCTGCTACTTACACCTACATAAAGGCTTCCACACAGTATGGTTTAAGCTGTGCTAGTAGCAGTATTGGCACATCAGTGAGGTTAATGTTCTGAGGGACTGAGGCCTTACGTTGTATACCGAAGCACAGCTTCTTCTTCTGGTAGGAGATGTAGCTGCTGATTGCACCCACCAGCGCCATAGCAACTGCACTAGCAATCCCTGCAATAGTGCCCACTTCTGCAGCCGGCTCTGCAAACACATGCACAGATATAGAGTTAAGTCCAGTGGCAGATATGTATGTATTTATGAAGAAACACTAGAGACTGAAAGGACCCACCATTGGTATCATCATGGTAATTTTGATCACCACCACTTGGACGGTCACCTGCGAAAACGCAAAATAATAGCAGGGTTAATTTAGCTACCAAGTCACACATGGATTCTCTATAAATGTGTAGATATTACCTTTGCCTTTGTCAGGTTTGTATTTATCATCTTTAGCAACACCAAACAGATCATCATCACTAAATCCACCTGAAAGAGGAGACAGATGAGTACCACACTGAGGAAGAAAAATGAAATCGGTTCATGATAAACTTAAAGACAGCTGCTTAGAGGTACAGGAAACTCAAAGTTATGAATTTGTTCAGAGCTGCATTTGTCATTCATGGGGTTGTTAAGTTCCTTGGTTTATGTAATGCTGAAGCTGGTGTCGTTCCCTTAGACTGGATAATCTGCCATTGGTTTGTTGACTCCTGTTTTGTGCCCCGAGTTTAGCATTTTGGCCATCGCCATTTGGGACTTCTGGAGCCAGAAGTGACCATATTTGGACAAGACGGTGGTGGAGCTGCGGAGGAGCAAGGGCTGGATCTGCCTGACAACTCCAAGGAAATCGCAATCAGCAATCTCCAGGGCTGCAAAATTATGCCAAGGCAAGAGTGCCAAAAACTGCGGTTGTTTTAATGGCCATTTCAGGCTGACTCCAGGAGCCGGTCAATCCCCATAGAGCCCCATGTTAAAATGCCAAACTGTATAGCAGAAATAAACATGTTTACAGCCTGGTACAAAAAAAGGTCTTGGTCTCTATGGCTAATTTCCCCATTCATGACAACTGTGTGGGGTTGAATTTTGAACTCACCTTTCTTTTATAAGGCTTTGAGTTACACATAATAAGGTTTGGGCCACTTTGAGTGACAGGCTGTCTATGAGGCGTCACCACAGTCTATGTGTCAGATCCTTCCCTCTGCCCTCCGCAGCTCCATCCTTTCATCCATATATGGCGGAGCTGTAACTGTTACTATTTCAGTGTGTTTCTGTTCATGAAGGTTATTATTAATGTTGGCTTGTCTGAAAAAGTCTTGTTCAGTGTTTGGTTGTGCGATAAAAGATCGTCCAAGAAATTGGATGTTCAGTTTTATTTATTAATAATAATAATAACAATAATAACAAGTAATAATAGTAATGCATTTTATTTACAGTGCCTTTCAAAGCAAATAAGTTTTTAAAAAACAAGCAGGAATATATCTATAGATCATAAAGTCACACAATTCAGTCATATACAAAAATAAGTTCATAAAATAACTAGACAAATATCATAATTATAGATTGCTCTATTGCAGTGTTTTCAGATGGGATTTGAAAGTGGAAAGGGATTCAATATTGCAAATGTCGTGAGGGACGGAGTTCCAAAGGTGGCAGGAAGACTCTAAAACCCATGATTTTATCACTTTTAAGTTTGAGGACGTTGTAGGAGAGCCAAGATTTCATATCCAATAAGCAGTCAGAAAGGGAATTGGGTGGAAGAGTGGAAGTAGGCTTGATAGATAGATAGATAGATAGATAGATAGATAGAGTACTGTCATTTTTTTCTATACAATCAGACTTCTTGTTGCCATCAGTTGAGTCACCCCCTGATGGCCATTACAAAGAATGCAAGTTTAAAGCACTTCCGAGTTGGCTTCACTCTTCAGGAGCCGTATTCAAAAACATTCTGATAGAAAACGTCACAATTTTAAGAATTTGGTCACTAGGGCCAACTATTTGTTCTAGTGAGCTTTGTGAATACGGCCCCTGATCCGGAGGTTGCATCCTCCTCTTTTACACAGTCTACAGTAATTCATTATGTCTACTGATAGTCCATCAGGTGGTAAAGCTACTCTGTTGTATTTTTAGTACAGGTTTTTGAGATTCTACTTGAAACGCTCATACCCAAATCATCTGGACTTCCATGAGAGAAGTCAGGTATTTTGATTGGTATTTGATGATGTGTATAACTTCCAATGTTTTGCTCATGTTTTTAAATTAAGTTTCCTGTACCTTAAAGTTGAAACTGGTTTGTGTATGATGCAGAATTTCTACTCAATATAGTTTGACCAATACTAATATTGATACTTTAAAGTTTAAAAAATCCAATTTAGATTTTTTGTTCTTTGTAAAACAAAATGCATACCAAGCGGAAAATGTGTCATATCGGCTGAGATATATCATTACTGATTTATCTGAAATGTCATATCGGCCCATTTATCAGTCTAGCTCTAACACTCAGTGTACAGAGAAATATTTTAAGGTTGATCACCAGCAGTTTGACAGATTATGCATTTATTTCATTAAATAAGAATCACTCCAGATATCTACAAACGAAGGATTAATTAATTAAAGAAATACAGAAAATACAAAATATTAACTATAAAATGAAATATAGGAAATGTTTTAAAACCATATTAGGATGAAATTAAACTATCAAAACTCTGAAAGTATATTTTGGTCTTCAGCTGCTCAACTAAAAGAACGCAGAAATAGCATGTGAAGCATGTGTAAGACAGTATTACTGTATGAGCAGAGTGGGAGGGGATGATAAGCGACAGATGAAAACAATAAGCTCCCTCTCTTGACCCGGGAGAGTTACGTAGTTCTTTTGTAGCACTCAACAACAGAGTACTTATTCAAGCAGACTGTAGGGACAGTTGTCCTGATGGTGAAGTCATGGCTACTGTCTGTAGCTCAGATTCTTTTTTAAGAAGCTGCACATGCTGTGGTCTTGGAAGTTTTAAAGGAATTCCAGAACAACTGAGTGGTGCTGCACAATATATTGTTTTTTTATTGCCATTGCAATGTCAACCTGTGTGATAAACACATGGGAAAAATTTGCGATATTGCACTCAGGGATTTTTTTTTTGAGTTAGTTGAAAGTGAGTATCAGTAGGAAACTGCACTTTAGAGTGTAACTATCATTCTTTCTCTTATTGGTGTGTTTTGTGTTCAGTTCCATATTAAATTTGTTTAACTAAAGAATGTTTTTGAATTTTTTTCATTCGTTTGTTTTAATTCAACGAGTAGTTTGTTGTAATTTAGCAGTATACTGACAGCAGCAGACAGGCAGAGCTGAGTACACTTTAAAGTAAGTTTATCTCAAGTACTGTAATAACATTATTGCCCTATTGAGCTTTATCACATATCACAATTTTTTTATTAACTGTACATTTGCTGCATAAAGTTGTTAACTTTTATACAAATCACTTGCTGAAACTGTGGCTATAACCTCACAGTAGTACATGAGGCAGATAGTCTGTGAAAAAAATCATGTTCATTTGCTTCCTCCCAATGCTCCTAATGGCATTTGCAAGAATCCTGAAAAATGAGAAATGTTGTCGAGCCAAAATGAAAAATTAAATGTTTTCTCAACACGAAATAACTTTGCTAAATTTTAGAAGGACTCAAGCAGGGTGGTGAAGAATTTGTATGGAGACACGGGTGGCACATTAAAAGTCCTAAACAAAAGAAAGTAATACCGAGTGCAGATGAGTGGACAGGTTTAAGCTACAGTATATTAATTAAGGGCGAGGGTTCTTCATAATCTGGTATCAAAAGTCAGGTGGCACCAGTGCCAAACAAATAAATTTAAAATTGCCCTGCCTTAAATATACTGTACATCTCTGATAAACCACAGATAATGACATAAACCGAGTTTCCACCAAAGACTTCCAGTAGAGTACCCTTAGAACCTGTACATAACCTGTACGGACATGTACCTGAACCCTAGATCTGTTTTGCATTTCCACTGCAGACACTTCTCTTAAATGTAGCCAGGGTTGTTACTGGATGTGTACTGCGAGTAAGTAGTGTCACATTATATCTAACACAACACAGGAAATGTGACTCACGGACACAATGGATAACGTCCAATGTTTTGTGTTCTTTCTTCCTGGTATGTGGTTGTTTATTACAAGGAGGAGACAAGCTTAGAAAATGATGTAGGCAGCAAGGAAAAATACTGTCAGAAAAAAGAAGAGAGTCAAGCAAGAATGACGATTCTCACTTGACCAACCAGTCAGTACGTTTACATGCACAGTTAAGTCAAGCTACGGTTGTAGCAATGGTTGTAGTTCAACTAGGCCAATTAATTGGACTACTGTCCTTGTCCTAGTATACAAGCACGGTAGGGGAATCGATTTATTGACCAAAGTATGTCCAACTCCGCTACGATAGGTGGCCCTTTCAATTTGTTAGAATTGGACCTTTTTTGCGTTGACCTATTACCTCACAGACCAAACACTCAAGCGTTGTCTAGCTGTTTTCACTACTTTTTTTGAACAGGGTGCCAATCCTTGTTTTCCTCCCATCCATATACTTCAAAATATTTAACTCTTTCTGCTGACTCAGCATGAACTGTGTCTCCTCCTCTGTCCAAAAATGCATGGCTCTGGATGTACATTTTGTCGTGTTGATACCAGCTTCTTCTTCGGCTACACATTTATTGCTGTTTGACTTCCGGGTCAAAGCCCAGGGCGGAAACTTTTTAGGCCAGTTTGGTTTTGATTGACTGTATACATGCAGGAGTAATTAGACTCCCAGTTGTATTTTCTGAGTTTGTTCGTCCAACTTTGAGAAATTCTATTTAGTACTATTTTAGATGGACTTACATGTTTACATGTATTTTAAAAGTCTGCTTTTAGTTGGACTAACATAAAACTGATTTTACCTAATGTTATGTAAATGTACTGAGTGATTTAGCTCCACCTTTAAGTATTTGATCAGGTTGCTAGTTACCTAGACAGAGGAGTTACGAAAAAACGTGATAAAATGGAACAGTTGTATAGGTACCACAACAACTTCTGAAGGTGGAAATGCAAAAATAACTGTTAAATGTCTAATGAACTGAACTGACCCAAACGGTTTGGTGGAAACAAGGCTTTACTATCTATTAAAGCCGCTATGTGTAGAAGTAGCCAGAACTATAACTATAATATTATTACTTTCAATAATGTTGTTGTAAGCTACTGTCATTACCTGCATCTCTCTCTCTCTCTCTCTCTGTCTCATTGTGTCATACGGATTACTGCTAATTTATTATGCTGATCTGTTCTGTACGACATCTATTGCACGTCTGTCCGTCCTGGAAGAGGGATCCCTCCTCAGTTGCTCTTCCTGAGGTTTCTACCATTTTTTTTCCCTGTTAAAGGGGTTTTTTGGGGAGTTTTTCCTTATCTGCTGTGAGGGTCCTAAGGACAGAGGGATGTCGTATGCTGTAAAGCCCTGTGAGGCAAATTGTGATTTGTGATATTGGGCTTTATAAATAAAATTGATTGATTGATTGATTGAACTTGTATGTCATTAGAGCATCCAATCAATTAACTATTCTGATGTCACAGGTTTCTGGTAGGGGTATAAGCTGCTGACTACAACAGATTCTAAGATGTATTTAATATGATCATATTCTACATATAGTGGCTTTAATTCCACATGAAATTTTTTCAAAGTGATGCTTTTTTGGAGCGTTACCAAACTAACAGCTACAAATACTAATCTTGCAGGAGAGCTCCCACCCACCTCCCTGCCCCTTGTTCTTATCCTTGCCACCAATGTCATTGTTGGGGTCCAAGGCATCAGCCAGGTCAAAGTCATCAGCAGCTGTAGAGGTCAAAAGGTCAGTTGTCAATGGTTTTGCAAAATAAAGGCAAACGCAGGAGTTTAACAAAACATTAGGACAAATAAACTGAGAGGGTAATAACCACTGAAAATACAAGACCAACAAGACTTGTTATTCAAAAGGATAAAGAAATGTATGCTGTCTCGTGTGAACTAGCTAACGTATGATAAGGTGTTCCTGTGATACCTCATTAATAATTCAACAGTCATTTAATAATATTCAAACATAGGTATGTTTGAACTTACAAACAGCTGCTGCAACAGGCTTCTGGGACTTAAAGAGGACCTATTATGCGTTTCCTTAGTTTCTGTCATACTTATAAAAATGTATATCACAGTGTATATTGCTATTAGCAAAAACCTCAGACCTTGGACCGTTCTGAATACTCTGTTTCCAAAGTTTTTTTCTACTTTCAAGACAAGCTGGTGTCAGCTTATGAAAGATTTCTTTGTGTGGTCATCTGCTCCAGGCACACTACTGCAAGTGTTTTTATATACACCACTACATGTAGCTACATGCTAACATCAGGGAATCATGTAAATGTGGTTGCTGATATGGATCTCAGTTTTGGTTAATTTTGCATTCGACAGCCTGACACCAATTAGTTTTTGAATAATAAACACAAAAATATGTGAAATACGAGAGGCCCCTTCTTTTAGTCTGGGGCTTTAGTGACTCAATGAGCTTTAGTGCCAAATTTCAAAGCACTATCCATTTAGAGGTGGTGAAATTTAATGTTTTTCCCTTGATTTTATTGCCTGTTGGCTTTGCTGACACAAGAATGAACCTGAAAATGAGCATAATAAGTCCTCTTTAATAGAGCTGTCACATAAACAAAATATTATATGTTGCATTTATGTATTAATTTCATTGTTCTATATAGTACATTTCCACCGCTTCTGCTTTGTCCTTTTTTCAGTCAGTGTTAAGCTACTGCCAGAGAAACTCAGCACTTCCTGTAAATATTTCAAAATAAAAGCCTACCCGGAATAGGGGTGTGGGGAAAAATCAATATACCACAGTATTGCGATATTTTTATGTGGCAATATTGTATCGTTGCACCGATGCCAAATATAATTTTTTTATTATATAAATTATAACTATTACATATACAAATCAAATGTTTGGTAGCCTACTAGAACAATGTAACCTTCAGTCCACTAGATAGATTTTGATGGAATAAAAATGAAGTGAGATGAGCAAACTGAAAACTTTAACTTTTTAATTGAAACAGATGTCAGCAAAGTTTTCCTTTGGGGACATAATGTGCAGTTAAAAAAAGGTACTAAATCACAATATACCACAACATATTTTATTGCAATACTCAGCTTATCGTAACACCTTTAAAATCACAGTAATATTGTATTGTGACTAGTATCGTGATAATATCGCATCGTGGATTGTCTGGTGATTTCCACCCCTAACCAGGAAATGGAGGAATTATTTCCTTTAAACCACTGGAAGGCTTTAAGCATTTGTTAAAGGGATAGTGCACCCAAAAATGAAAATTCACTATAATGCACTATCCCTTTAAGCCCATTTCGCTGACAGTATCTTAACACCTAATCAAGAACATGGCAAAGTGGAACTGAGTGAAATGAATTGGTAAGTGAGGACAGTCATTATATAAAGGAGGAGGATAAAAACTGCAAGTAGGCATGGAATTGGTGTTGGATTTGGATAAACAACAAATTAAAACAGAGGCAGATCAGAAAACTGATTTCTAAAATATAAATCAGAACAAATTAGAAATAAATGCAAAGCCTCTAATAAAGAACTGCTGCTCTCTGTAGTTGGGGTGCAGACCTCAGCAGGAAGGCTGCCTATAAACACAGAGGAAGGTGCATTCTCTCACCTGGCTTGGGATTGGGCTTGACTGGGGCCTTGGTACCTGCGGGGACTTTGGGCACAACCTTGGGTGGGACTTTGGTGGTAGTGGTGGTGGTGCCATCGGTATTGAGTAAATCCTCTAGATTAAAGTCTGCACAGAACATTGACGGCACTAATATGTAGATCCACTGACTTCAGGTATGATAAGTGCACTGTAAAATTTTTCACACAGGTGGATAAGGCTTGTCTAAAACCAGCCATAGTCTGAGTTATAAACACAAAGTGTAAGAAATCAGAAATTGCAATAAGATATGTGATGTTCCTGCTCCAGTATTCCTCAAATGAAATAAAACATTTAGGTCTACACTGATTCCCATTGGTTCCCGCTTAAAAATGGTCCTGACGCTGTTGCTGGTTAAGCTGGTGTTGTATTACATCATAATATACAATAATTATAGAATTAAATGATCACTGTATAACTGTAAGGGTTCTGTGGTTCTTACCTCCTCCTGTTCCCCCGCCTGGTGCTGCTGGTTTTGGTGGCTTTGGGGAAGGAGTCGCTGTTGTGAATGTGAAAGATGATGAATTATTATAATTATTATTTACATCATTTAAAAGTAATTATTTTACCTGGTGTCATTCATAAGTGAATATTGGATATTGTAAACACATAACATTTTACTCTTTTGAATGCATGTTACATGTTTTTTGATTTTAGGATGTGCTGGATTTTTCTTACTGTCAAAGGCAGCCATTAGCTTCCATTCATTTCCATATGATATTATCTCATAATGATAAAGTAGCACTGAGGCAGACCTCATACTGTCATGGATTAAACAACTCAAGCAAATTTCAAGAGTATTCATTGCTGACTTTTTGTTATACAAAATGAATGGAAACCAATGGAACCCCTAAAGTACAAAAATATTATATTATTTATCTTGTGCACACAAGATAGTCACTTTACAGGACTTTTCTCTATTGTATGGTGGCTGGGTGAACTTGAAGTAGTTTAAGATGCATAATGATTTCACAGTTGTTTTTTTTTGTTTGTGTTTTTTTGTTTAACTAATTAATTTATGTGCACAAGATTAAAAAAAATCTGATTACAAGAGATCTCATAATAATGAAATTTTCTAATCATTTGGTGATACAGATCTACGATATGAAATGCTAGGTCATAGACTGAGCAGGAAAACACAGAGAATATGGAGAACATGCAAATACCACACATGGTATGGTGTTCTATTACAGTTCTCAAACCAGCACTGGGTCGCGAGATGGTTGTGGATTAAAAGAAAAAAAACATTTGTAAACTGAAAACCATTTCCCTCAGTGGAAACTAAGCTTCTTTTTACTTGTATTTCACAGATAAGAAACAATACATTGTGAAGACAATGAAGCCCACACAAAATAGCATTTTAAGTCTTGTGTGTGATTTATCCTGGTTTCACATGAGTAAAGGAAATCTCCGCTAGTTGCTAGGCTAGCGTGTTGTATTTGTTTGGAAAACATGTTTAGTATAACATAATTGTTCTGTAAATGAACCTTCTGAGCTGTAATGGAGCTGAATTTTGTAACCAAAACTTTGTTAAATGTTTCTGTTGTTCCTGACTTCATTAGGTGCAGAAAATCTCCACTAGCTGCTAGGCTAATTCATATAATGTATAATTCCATAGGCTTGTGCTAATAATAATGTATTTGTGGGGAAAATGTGTCCAGCAAAAGACAAGTGTTTTTTTTTTATGAATCCTGCAAGTTTTAATGAAGCTGATTTGTGTACTTGTGTTTAAAATTGTCTCTATTAAGCCCTGTTTAATGTGTGTTTTGAATCAATTTAACTTTACAGCACTTCACAGAAACCGCACCGCCAACTAGTCTTTTGGATGTGTAACTGCAGAGTTACACAGACACACCACTGCACAAGCATAAATGCTCACAACGGCGTAGGCCACGTGCGTAGGCTACAGCGTAGGCTCTGCATAGAGCTGACACAAATATAATCGGCCTTTAGTGGATGGGACATGGGCCAAACTAAAAAGTCCAAGTATACTTCACATATATTTTTCCCAAAAATGGTTTCTGTCATTTAAGGTAGTTTTATCACACTGCTGTATGTTCAAGTATTTGTTTTCTGATAAGTTTGGTTTTAATTAGTTATCTAATGCTCTAAAATGGGATTTTACCACATGATTGACAACTGTGTGAGCCAATCGGTGGGCTCGCATTCAGTGGCACTGCTTGCAATTGGTTGGACAGGTGTATGGGCAGAAAACTGCGGAGGTCGCTACTGCACAGACTCTGGCTCCGAATGATGACACCAGAGCAAGATTTCAGCTGCTGTATCCGGGATATTTTAGCTTCACTTCTGTACAATGGGAGTAAGTGGAGTCTCATTGTCCATCTTTTATACAGTCTATGGTCATCAGAAACAAAGCATTATTTATTTTCATTTATCAAGGAGATCATTCACATTAATCAGTTAAAATCGGTAGGGGGAGGCGTGTAGAAACAGTTGTTTATGCCGGTTTGCAGGGGTCACCTGATTATTCTGTGGTATCACAACTTGAAAAGGATGAAAAAACACTGTTTATTGTACTTACCTGGTTTACTGTCATCATCCAGGGCATCAGCCAGGTTCAAGTCCTGAGACAGGACTACAGTCCAGAGAGGACAGAGGGACAGACAGAGAAGAGGGACAGAGAAAGCAGACATGTTACACTGATTCCAACTAAGGCTGTGCAATTAATCGTCTGGTGATCGCGATTACGATTTTGAGGTGAAATGATTTCAAAATCAATGAAATCGCGGGTAAATGATTTTTGGTCACGGACGCCTAGAGATGTTATTTTGTCTTCTACAGAAGCCGCGCATGCGCAATACCGCCACCTCCCCTCCTCCCCTCCTCTCCTCTATTCACTCCACAAGCCAGTCAAGTAGGTGAACTACGAATAATGCGAGGGGCAGGTGATCACGGAAGATTTCAAAAACAGTGTGCGGAAAATGGCAGAGGGAGAGCAAGAGAGGTTGGTCTGTGTGTGTGTGTGTGTGTGTGTGTGTGTGTGTGTGTGTGTGTGTGTGTGCGTGCGCATCAGGGCCAAACTCCGCCGTGCACAATACAGAGAGCAGAGGAGAATTCTAAACATGCGACCATGTAGAGACAGAAATGACATGCCGTCGTGTAAACAATACAAGTCATCACGTGCACTGCATAATCGTTTCCATAATCGTGATTTCAATTTTGACCAAAATAATCATGATTATGATTTTTTCCATAATCGGGCAGCCCTAATTCCAACACATAAAACCAACAAAACACATAAAGTGGAAACTGGTCTCTTAGATTAAAGCTTCCTTTATTTTCTACAGGTATGAACAGTGTTCCAGGCCCCCCAGTGTTACTGTGTCACACAGTCCCTGCCCTGGTGCCAAACTGGGCCCACTGTGCACTAATCCGCTCTATTTGTTGACTGAATTGCAAAAAAAAGAGATCATTTACTAGATAGGACACAAAGGCAGAGACAAACAAACAGTGGCTAACCTCATTGGCTGCCACACACAAGCAAACATCCACCTTTCAACATGCAGCTGCAGTAAAGGACAGAGACTTGTTCACATTGTTCAACATTTGTATACTCACTTGTGCCTACATATCGCTGTTCACATTTGTTTGTTGTATTTCTAACCCTCAATCTGAAGGGTGTAACTGACAAAAATTATACATTAACCAGCATTGCTGGCAAATATAAAATTAATTCATCAATACACTATGCTATGACATCTTGTCTTGATTTGATAAGGACACAAATGATTCTGTTTTTCACTATACTAGTGATTTCACAATACTGGAATTTCCACCTTCAATCCAATACCTTGAAAAATATTGATATTTGATTTTCTTGATTTTCAGTACCACGCTAATAAATTTAAATTCAGGGCATTACATTTAAAAAATTTATCAAAAGACAGAGTGACAAAGCGCAGGTGGTACCTGTGTATTGATACTCTGGAAAATGAGATCTTACATGCATTAAAATCACAGATCACAGTATTATCAGCATACATTTGGGAGACCAT